ACATCAACCAAAGTTAAAGTAATTGAAGATGCAGATGCAAACTTGAAATTAAAGACATAGATGCAAACTTACAATTGAAGATGTAGATGCAAACTTGTAATTGAATATGTAGATGTAAACTAATAATTGTAAATGTTGATATAGTTGTAAATTACAACTTATACTTGTAACCTTGTAGATGTAAGGTAATTATAGAGAATTAAAAATATTGGATTTCAAATTTACCCTTCAAACTAGTTGATATATAGTTGTTAAGATGCGTAAAAATGACACATAGAAGCAAAAAAGTATAAATTCTAGACTTACCCCTTAAACTAGCCGTTATATAATTGTTGGGAGGGGGTAAAAATAGAATTTTGGACTAAATGACCGTTATTCGTGCTTATGTCCATGCCTAGAGCGTGCCCATGCCGTGCCAGCACAATTGGGCAAAAATCACAGGCCCGAGGTGGGTGCCCGTGGTTGGGCTGGCCCATTTTGAGTTTTGCCGTTATCACCTTTAACCGTGTCGTGGCCGTGCCCGTGCCAATTCCAGTCCGGCCCAATTTACACCTCTATGGGCAAGTACCATTGGCCCATTCTTATAAAGCAAATCAAAATACACCAATGTTGGTCTTACCAACTTGTTCCTTACCATGGTCATTGCATAATCACAATCATTGAATAACTAGTATGATTTCATAATCCAGAAATACATATGAGTTAGTACGAAAAAGTTGATAAAAAAGTTGGCCAGTGTCACATGCTTCAATCAGAAACACTGAAACTGAATGCACAACAATGTGCTATAATTGAAATCCTTGTTATTTAATTGGATAGCATTTCGACTGCAATTCACAAAGGCTGAGCACCCTTGGCACTCAGTCATGAATAATTGAAAGCAACTAGTCCCAATCGTTCATTTAAAGTGTTGGCTATCTGATCCCTTATGAGATAGAACTAAACCCAACTACTCACTCTGTCCCTCCCAGTGATTAGTTGCTTGGTCCCTAAGAATGAGGTGACTTGGCAAATTAGATGGCAGCAGTTAATAGTATGTTAATTGGCACTATCATTTTTATTAATGTAGGTAGACAAACAAAGTAGCCAGAAAAAATATTGGGGTCATGCTATGTCTAATCATACATAGTCAAGTTCATATCATATACAACTGTGTTCAATGAACTATTCACCAAGTGAAAATGGCAAGTCAATCCTAGTATAACCCGAGCTTATTAAAGATAAAGTTAGTCTTGACATATTCGTATTAATTTTGCATCTACTCAGTTGATCCTGTTAAAAGTTCTCACTTCTCAGGCATAACAAAAAGTGCTAAATCCTTTTTCCATGAAGTCATATTCCTAGCCTGTCGCAAAAACAACCTACAGTTTGATTCGACTTGCCTATGCATGAACATTTTACTAATATTAGGTTATTGAGAGGTATTACTGAAATCCCTAGCATGGATTTAACAAACAAAAAAAAAACCAACCAACTTAAATAGGCTGCATGAAAGGTTTATTTCGGGTCAAAACTAGCAACACAGTACCAAGAGGTCGACTATCCATTTTGCTCAATCAATCTATTAGTTGGTATGGTAAACGACTAAGTAGGATCCTTTGTCTTAGTGATTAGTGATTCAACATGGTATTAGAGCCTATAGATTTGGAGTTCAAATCACTTAAAACAAAAATATATAACTTTGATGGACCACCCAAGAGAAGCCATACTTTAAATTTTTGGAGTAAATGGTGGTTTAAAGTATTTACACAACATGGGTTGACGAGAGAGAGATGCACATTCGCGATGCATTTACAGGAGTTCTTCTAGCATGGAATTGCTCCTGGGCTTCTGCAAGAGTTATTATGACAGAGATGGTTTTGTTTCTACGTATCTATTACCAGGCCCACTGGTCAGCTATGATTTTCGTGCGCACCAGGTGACTACATGTACTCATGTGCGTTGCCTGGAGTAGCAACAAAAATAAAGCATCTAGGCTCCTTCATCATCAACAAAAAACCCTACAAAAATACTCATTCACGTGAAGTAGGGGCCAAGACATAACAAGTTACATAAGGCCACCAAGGTCCAAGATTCTTCATAATGCCCATTTTTTTTGCTGAGAAAACCTTGTTTGAACATGCTTGAGTTAGTAATAATGCTACTAAGATCTGACTCCTAATACTAATTTAATAACAACGGTTAAATGGGTCAATAAATTATATTAGAGTTGCTCCAAAATCTATTGAGATCGATCGAAAAATCACAATCGACAAACAATTTTCAAGTGGTTGTTTGTGAGAGTTTCAAATATCTTGTTTCAGGATTTTCTTGGATTAAAACAATGAATAAACACACAGTGCAGGAAACTAATAAAAGAAAAAATTAATTCAATTGAAAGGATTTCGGTTACAAGAAAAATAGATTAACAGCCCTGAATACAACAGTAACTGTTTCCTAAAACTAACTTAAAAATACTCCTAAAAATGTCCAAATCATGGGTTTTGTGGAGGGTTTGAGTGTATTCTTCGCCTGCTCTATTGTGCGCCCTTTATAGCCACTGTCTTCGACGATTTTTGCTTCTATCAACGGTTATTATCTGGTAACCTCCAATCAATTACTTTTTCTTTTTTCAAAAATGATTTGAGCCAATTGTTTTGTAACTTTTTTTATTTCTGCCACGTGGCATCACCTCAGTGTGTTCAAATTGTCATATGTTGATAAATTGAATATTCATAAAATTTAATATTTCATGTGTAAATAATACCCTTATTTAATTGGGTTTAATTAGTAACTCAAATAAATTAACAGTCACTAGTGTTATTCCTTGGGGCAGTGTCTTATTACATTGTTAACTTCATGTGGGAGGTTCTATTTCTGCCTCCAAATTTTCCAATTATACCTTTGAAAGCTACAATCCAAGTCACTTTGTCAGACAATTTAGCCCATCTCAAAATATTTTTTCCCTTACTTGCACCCTTCAATTGATGAGCATAATAGATGGCTTGTTACTGATTTTTTGCAGCATCCATGTTTAGAGGTTTTATCAAGTATCCCCTGACTCCTTAAGAGGCCTCCTGGTGTACAACTTCTTATTTGATATCCAATTTAATGAGTTCCCTTCCTTTGTACCCATCTACTCTAATTTATATGTTCTGGACTAACTTTGAATATTTTATCTTGATCGACAACCATTGGCTGCCATTAAATATTTTATGCCTTCACTTTGTTCTGGAATAACTCATTAAAGTCTTATTGGTGAACTACTGTGGATTCTCCACTTTGTGATTTAGGCTGTAAAAACTCAAATCTAGCCAAGTCATGCCAGATCTGTTGCAAGTTTTCCTCAAAATACTTATTAAGTTGGCTCTTGGAGCCATTCTGCCCAATTGAAGTTAGATCCTTGCAATAGAATTGAGCCTCCACATTGTATGCATCGGTAGAGAAAGGGTTGGTGTCAGCCCAATGCTCTTTCATCCATTTTCTTCCCCCATCATCACTTTTTGACAGGAAGATTAATATCCGATGCATGTATGATGGCACACAACCATTGGTATGTATCCAATCTCTTCCTAGAAGGACATTAAAATTGGATG